TCCACACCATCAGTAAGCCCTGGGACAATACAGCAAAAATACACACCCTGGAGGAGGTCAGTAAAGTAAAACTCCACAAGACAGAAACCACCACCTTTGCTGCGGAATAGAGTCAGTACTAAATAACAAGGTTATAATATGAAAAAATTGTAGCACACCTCAGGCTTCCATACAGATGGAGAATGACATCCATACTCCTTCTCAGAGATGATTGCACTCTCTCATTCAGGGCCACCAGCCTACCAGAACCACTGTTCCTCAGCCTACCAGAACCACTGTTGCCTCCAGTCATGCAAGTGCTCTGTAAGAGAGGTATTACTCTAACCTGAATACTTCCTCTCTCCTAGGACATTGGTCAGGGTGAATCATCAGTTAATAAATAGTATTTCTTAACTGGGTGCAGCATTTCTAACAGCACCGCAGGCACATTTCCCTTTACTCCTCTTCTAGAGAATACATCTACACGAGACAACTCAGAGACAACACCTGAACAGTAAGAGCTTGTAGCAAACGTATGCCAAAGAACCTGAGCTTCTGATATCTGTTATGCTGGCACAGGTGCCACATTTCCCAGTGCTCAATCCAGAAAACTCACACTCCTGCTCTTACCTTTCACGTTCAATCTTCTTCTACACTAGTGTCCAGAGCAGCCTACTCCCTCAGAGAAAAACCTGAACAGATTGCTTGACATGCAAGGATTAGTCTTGTCTGTGGTCAGTCTCTCTGAGCTACGTACCACTTGCCACAAGCTGATTAGCTGCCTGCTTAAGGAGGAGCTGGGATAAGTTTCCTTCTGACGGCAATGAAGTGGAGAGGCAGGCGCTGACTGTAATAATATGCTGTTTCCTGTCTGCGGCTGAGCTGAGAGGTACTTCCCAACAAAAAAGGGTTTACAGGAGCTCAGGAGCTCAAGCTCCACCTCTTCCAGTGAAGAGCCATTAACTATGGAGGAGGGGTCACCAGCATGGCTCCTGGCACTCAAAAACATGCTCTGAACCAGCTTCTACTTCACCAAAGCATCAGAAAGAAGAAACCAAACTACACAAAATCCCCATTCCACACAGAGGATATTTCTCCTACAGGACCTCAAAGCTCTGAATCAGATGGGATAAGAAGTAAATGCTGTAATTACTGTTATGTGAATGAGGGTAAAAGTCCACACCACCATTTGGTAGCAATAACTGGAAAACATTTACCAAACCACCACGTGAGAATCAAACTGGAACACAAAATGTGTACTTGGGAAGATATGATGTCCTTTCCAGGCCCTCTCCTGACGATGACAGGCATTTTTGCCTAGTATTAAAGAATACATACCTTATCTCTATACAAATCCTCCACAAAGCAATAAAGGGTCAATGAACTGATAAGGAATCACTTCTTTAACTGTACCAACTACACTGAAGGCAGCAGGCTTAACTTAGTTGGCACCTTCTAGAAAAGGGCAGGTTTTCAGCCCACACACCAGTATGTGAAGAGGAATAATTTGTTCACCACACAAACGTTTACAAAACTGGGCCAAAGAAGACAATCCAAAATCTTTTCAAAGACTTTTGAGAGGACAGCTCTGGTGTCAAAATGTTGACCTGAGCAGCAGGCAAGAGAGTTTCGTGTCCCCCAGACCATGCAGGTGTCACAGGAGAGAATAGGCATGATGGATGGCTCAGGTCCATGACACAGGTAAGCAGATCATTTTGAGACAGAGATCAGTAAAACCTAGGCTTCCCAGCATCATCTTGAGAAAACACTACTTCAGATTAAAGCATGGAACTCATCCTCCTTGCAGATTTTGTTTTAATGCTCCTCACAGAACTGCAGGCTAGTTTATCATGTGGGCACCTTAACAAATCACGTTACGGCAAAACTGCAAATCCAAGAAAAAACTGTTCACGGAAAGAGCTAAAGTCTCACTGGGAAGACCCAATGTACCCACTGTGATCCCAAATCATCTATCAGCTTTTTAGAAATCACAAGAGGTGTTGAGGGTATGGCTAAGAAAGCACACACTGATGGCAAGAGTCCAGGCTAAAAGTAGACTGCTCTCTTTGTAATAAAGGGTCCTGAACTATCAGGACAACACACTTATCATTGCCTTGTGCCACAGCAGATCTTCTCTAAGGCCCTGTGCAAGACAGAGGCACTGGGGAGAGATCTATGCACCATGTACCAATGGATCATACATGGAAAGCACCTGTCACAGCCCAGACATCCCAGAAGAATTTACCTTGTAGACAGCTAACACTCAAGGACAGAGATGGCAGAGATGTGACAGAACCAGCAAATACCACACCCAGAGGCCTAATGAGAGAAGAGAGCTCTGGCATGGGGCTGCTATAAGATTTATTCCCAGAGGCTTCTTGTTAAATACCTCTGCAGCCACACTGCCTGACCTAAAGGAACAAAGCTAAACATAAAGCTTTTCGTTACACATGAGGGAATGGAGCAGTACAACACTGTAAGCTCAAAAATGCCCCATGTCACGTGCTTCCAGCCCATTCTATAGCCATCTATCCAATAACACTAAGTACCAGTCTGAAAACAGTCCCCACTGCAAACAGGATACACTTACTGAGGAAATCTATGCAAGATCAACCAAGTAAACCACAGTGGAATTTATTACACACTTTTTTCAAAAGGAAGAGGTCCGTGTCTTAAAACTCACTTTTCTTGCTCTCCTTCCCGCTGAGAGCAAACAAATTACCTGTCAGTCATGTCCTATGTAAAAGGTTTACTGGCAGCTATTTTTTAACCTTACTCCTCTCTCCATGCAGCACAACTTTTGCTGGCTTTATGCTCTGGTTTTCTCCTCTCATGAGGCTGCCTCCCCATGCTCCTCAAAGCACTTTCAACAGTTGCTTTTCTGACTGGTCAGCCCTTATTACCTCTTTGTTTTGGATAAACATTGGTCCCCCAAGTGGCTTATCTGATGTTTTTGTTGCTTGTCTTTATATCAAGAACTTAGGGGAGTCATTCAGGCAGCCTGACCTGCAAAATCTATACATCAGGCAGCACAGACAGGATAGAGGTTGAGTTTTCTCAGAAAGAAACCATTCTTCTATAAATTCACAAGTACCAGTCTCCACTGAAGAAAACTGAAAACCAAAAAGAAAACCAGAACATCTAAAACTCTGATTACAACACCAAATGCTACATATTTTAAGTTAAGGAGAAAAACCTCCAATCATATAACACACAGATTTGAAACAGAGAAAAAAATGCATCAAAGAACTCTGAATTTTAAAAAGGAAGATACAGAGGGGAAGCAGAGTGGTCTCAAAGAAAACCAACAGAAAACTGCATGACTGCAAGGAATCCAAAGCACTGACAGCAATAATGTAACAGAGCAAACCACACCAAGACTAGGCCACCTTCTGATTTCCTAAGTGGTTTTAAACTTCAAGGTAAATGAGTCAAGTGCCTCCATAAGCCGCGATAGAAAGAGCAGATAGAAATAAGGAGGAAACGTGCTTTTCTTTAATTTACCTAAGCACCATGACACACTGCTCAGCTGGAGACAGTGCAAACTCTACCTGCTTGAATTTCAAGGTAACCCTTTACCTTTTATCAGCTATGGAAGGCAGGGACTGGTAGAGCCTGATACAAGAGTCTTGGAAATAACTCTTCACTCTTTGACTCGGATGGGGCAATGTGAGAGAGCAAATACACTACTCCCTTCTGTCCCTAACACAGTCTTCCTGATGCATATTAGATCTCTCCCAACTATAACAGTAAGCAGCACAATAACAGTACACTTACCTGAAAAATCAATCTTTATTTATATTTGAGAAAACTGAAGCAAGATCCAGGATAAAATGCTTTTTTAACAGGTAAATAACACCACAGTCGTGAAAACATATTCCCTACTCAAATCACTGCATAAACCTTCTCTCTGTACTCTCACATTAACACCTGATATCAATATTTACTTACCATACCCAGATGTGCCTCCTACCTGTCCAACTATGGATGTAGAAAGTGTTTTCAAGCTTTGGGAAGGTGTTGGGGTTTTATCTGGACACAGGCACTGCAAAGCTAAAACCTACAGCTACACATCAGAAATGCCATTTAGCAGATGTTTAAAGCAGCAAATCCTTCTCCAGCGCGAGGCACACTGCTCAGTGTTGGTCGCCATCTGCAGGACCAAGAGGGATTCCTCCCTCCACCTGGACTGCTCCCCCCTTCACCGTGCCTTAGAGCAACACTTCCTTTCCCCAGGCCCTCCTTCTCCTCTGTACCGACTCCCTCAGCAGCTGTGTGGAGGTTTGCTGCTGTTCACCAGCTCGACACTCACCCTGCAGGGCTGATGTTAATGGGTTTTTTTCTGCACACCAGGTGCTCCCCCAAACTGGAGCTTGCAGAACCCTTGCACCTTAGAAGTACAATCATTTTTCCTCCTAGTTCCTGAGCCTGGAGAAAATGATGTAGGGACACCACTGCATTTCCAGACTGCAACTACTTAGCAGACATTCCACATCTGACGAGTATCCTGAACCAATCCCACAGTTATTTCTGTGCTATTTCTTTCTGTTCCTCCTTTTGCTTTCCCACTATATATAGCAGGCATATATAAACACACACAGAGACACACACAAATAAAGTCAGGCAAAGAAGTTTACATACTTTAATGCCTATGGGAAAAACTAAATTCCTTTAGCAAGATCTCCAGCATAAACATGAACATCACCTCTAACTCCCTCAGCATAACAGATTTTTCTGTCCCACTGTGCAAACAGGTTCTATCTAACTCTCTCAGCTTACAGGGAAGAAAATCCCTGAATGCCAAGTCTTAGCACAATACATAGTAACCTAAGGTATTTCCCTGAGGTAACTTCCCATAAGAGTTAAATATGAGTTATCATACTGTAAAGAAAAGTGAGTTTATTTTTTATTTTTCATGAAAGATGCTGTGAAGATCGTTCAGGTGTTTTTCAACTCTGCAAAAGAGATGGGATGTGGGGAAAAGATGGAAGAAGAACAGAAAATAATGCAGTAAGTCCTACCGTGAAGCTGTTGTTGACATTCTTTGTGCTGGATTCTGCCACACTGGCATCTGTCAGATCCACCTCATCAAAAATAATGGACTGTAAAGAAAAAAATCAAAATCTCAATAAATTATGGAATCCAATGTATAAGCAGCAGACTCAAAGGGAGGCTGCCTCCCCACTGATTCCCATCTGCCTCCAAAGCTCCTCTACTGACTTCCTTCCTTGGCCTCACTGGCACTGTCAGGACCTTACCTTAGCAGTTTTTGCATAGTAGAGCGTTCGTCCTCGCAGCTTAAAGTATCGTCTCTTCCAGCGCTGGAAGGAGCTGGTCTGTTTCATTAGCATCCCCTCTTTTATGACAGTCTACAAAAGCATCAGAGGAGAGCAGTGAAGCATAGGTTTTACTGACAGGCATGTTTTCTGCTTCCCCAGCACACACCCCTAGGGGAACAACCGAAGTTGGAGACCAATAACCTCAGTGCCCTCTGCTGGAAGCGTTTCACAGATTCATTCAGCAAAACTGAGCAGCCTTCACAGGATAAAACTCTCATGAACAAACAACCCACACTGCGGTGAGGTTTTACCCTTGTCTCCAGTGCTATCACGATACCAAAGAAGATAAATAACTTAAAACTGAATGAGCATTTCAAATCTAACAGTGATTTGGGGAGTGTAACAGTTAAACTCACCGAGGTCAGATTTCAGTCACAGCTAATTGCACCTTGCATTTAATTGGCATCTGATTACCAGCACAAACACACCCAGGACATCTGTCTCTATCTCCAGCTGTGCATTGCGAACCAGCATCTACCTGGCAAAGAGGTGGCAAGCTGCAAGCCCAGGGGGTGAAGAGTGAAACCAGAGCAAAGAAGGAGCTATATCCAACATCAGTGTTTGGTATTCTTCAGATAGTCTTGGCCCTGCTTCGGTACTCTCTGGCCAGCTGCCATTTCCCAGGGCTGCAGTGCCAAAACTGTCTATGCACACTGACTTCTTTTCTTTAACTGCTTTATAACTAGACTGACATACCAGCATACACAGGCTCATATGCTCATTCATATACTGTGCATATGTGGGGGTATGGATTTAATCCACATGTATTTCATTCAGGTTTGAATACCAACAGCTACATGAAAATAATCTCAAAAACTGCAGCTTTTGTCTCAGAAAGACAAAAGGCAAAAAAGTCACGTCTGAATGTCCAATCCCAAGTTCCTGACTGTAAATACTGCCTAGGAGCTACAAGCAGTGCTATGTCATGCCTTGGTACCACAAGAAACCTACTTCTTTCCCCAAAAGAGTTGCAGGAACCTACTTCTTGCTGGGAGAGCCCAATATGATAAACACCCAGTTAAAACACAGGACACAAATGGTCTGACAATCTTGTAAGACAGGTTATTCTGTATCTTGGTGCCAGGAAAATGACATAGCTTTAACATACCAGAGGTCTCAGTGGAATTCAGGTTTGTAACAGTCAGGTTCGCAGATAAGTATCAATTCACAAACAGCACCAAATGGAAACTGCCAGGCTACGACAGCACACAAAATAAATACTCTTACTGATCCACAGGGTTTAGTTCATTTTAGAACTCCTTTCCAGGGCATTAAACTTGCTTTTAAAATGCTATATATATTTCTAATGTGTGCCTTTAGTTTTTGGAACAGCTGCAGATTTTGATACATTCCATATACACTGGCTCTTGCCAAGCTCAAAGCTTCCTCAAAAACCACTTCGAAAAAAATGCTGACTGTAAGGAGAAACATCCGTCTGACAATACATGCTTCTCTTTTGCTAGACTGAGCTATCCTCAAACTGGCCTGAGAGATCACAGGGTCTGGACCACCATGGTGAAGCCTCTACTCACAAATCAGCTGGGAAAGAGCAGGCTTCACATTCCACCAGATCCTAAAGAGAGCTGTCGGATATAGAAACCACTACAATCTTCCTCCACTGTGCTGGGAAATAGAAAAGGGGGAGAACTCCCCTGTCTCCTGGAAGAACAGCATCTGCCTTGATGGATTCTGGCCAGCTCCAGGGTTAGCGAACCCTAGCCTCAACGCTTCCCAGTGGTCTGTTTCACAAAGCCACCTGCACAGTGGAAGAAGTATCTGCCAGTGCTCAGGCAAATACCAACTTAGTGTGTCTGAAGCAGGCACACCAGGAACTGCCAAACTCCACAGAACTTCCAGTAGAATGAAAAGAAAAAACAAAAACAAACAATTGAGGATTAAGCTCCTGTAAAAAATGGCAGTTTCCCACACCAGCTCCCCACAGCTCTGAAGCAGTCACTGAAAGGCATCCTGGCACTCATTTTCACAGGACACAGCAGCAGGAATACACTCTACAAAGCCATAAAGCATCTAGGACTGGCTTTAGGGTCCAGAAGTTGAACACACCATAGCAAAACCCAGAAACAAAATGTTAAACCACCTCTGAGCTGGTGTTACGCAAATAATCCAAAATTCAGATATTATCTTAGCTGAAGCTTCAGCGTAAGAGAAAACGGAGTGCAAAGACTGACCAAACAGCATCCATTGCTGAAACAACCCTGCAGGCAAGGCCAGAGCTGAAGGCACTCATCTGGAACCCAGAAAGATGCATTCATGCTCCTACTCTGCCATGGACTTTTTATGAGCTCCCAATAAAGCAATTTTCACTCTGTGTGTCTCCATCCCCCATCTGTCAAGTAGAAGAAACAGTACTCGCCAACTCTGTGGAAACCTGCTAAAATATGTATTTCTCTCATAAGTTATTTTAAACTCCAGCACCTGAGTATCAAAGAGAAATGTAAAGTACCAGCATCCAAATTACCACACTAAAGAAATCACACATTTCTGCAGCTCATTTTTTTACAGGGAAGAAAATGGGAAAGTGGCAGGAGATTTTCCAGCTTAAGACAGAAACATGGAGCGACTTTTGCATTCCCTGGAAAAAAACACATATAAATAAAAACTGAGACCAAGAAAGCAGCTACTGAACTCTGCAAAGCCCTGAACCAAAATCAGAGAGGAACTGGAAATCCTGAGGAAGGTGCCTTGGATGAAAAGCCTGAAGACATCAAGTTAGCCAAGAGGCTGATCAAAAACCAGCAACTTGCAAGAGGATATTTCAGATCTCTGTTGCTATGCTTATTTACAGCTATGGTTAAACCGGGGTCAGTCAGAGCCCTTACGCACCCCAGGCTCAGGCAGCACCACTTTAGCCAAACTCTTGCCCAGCCCACCAGCACAGTAACTCTCAGCAAAACAATGCCTCTGCTTTGCCTCAGCTCCCACAGCTCCCGCCTGCTCCCTCACCTCAGTTGGGCTCACTCACCTCTGCACAAGACGTGCATTCCTCCATTCCTCTTTTAAACCCTATTTTTTTCTTTTTTTTTACCAAAATGCAACACTTGCAGAGGTCACCTTGCCCCGCTCTAAGCGACAGTTCCTGTCACTGCTGGGCTCTATCTATAGAAAACCACACAGCTACCCAGCTCAGACATGAAAGGCCAGAGAGGAGAGCTCCTTCTGCTCACAGCAAACACGCCTCTGGTTCAGTGCTGCCCATCTCTGCACGAGAGCAGCCAGGCTATTTATAGGCACTCAGTTCAGCACTGTTTAGTGGGTTTGGGCGGAAAGGGCCACAGATAAGATCAAGATGACTTTATAAAATGATGTAGACATCGCTGCCTTTCTCTTCCTCTATTTTGACTTAACAGCCAAAGGACTTGTTACTTGCAGAGGAATGCAGCTGCAGAAAATGAACTGGGGAAAGGACCTGACTGCAAAGTGACACAAATTAAATAAAAGTGGGGAGGCGAACAGCTACTTCTGCTCCCCAGCCTCTCTGCAGATTTTTAATTGAAGATCTACTCTGATCAGATTACTGGGCATGTAATTCGTCAAGATAAAAGTGAAATTGCTTCTCCCATAATGAAAATAGAATGTTAAATCTATTTTTATTATCATATATTGGATCATACGGGAAAAGCTACTGCCCTGAAACACTATGAGGATGCGCATATAATTATGTGCATCCTATCCAGGATAAATACTAAAATTGTTTGCAATGGAACTATGCAGACTGTTTTCTATCCAGCTGAGTCCCTTTCCAGTGTGGTGTCCCGTAGCATGGCATTCCATGGGCAGATAACATTACGAAAAACTGAATTATCGTCTCGGATCAAGTGTAAAATGATGCAATACTGATTTCAACACTGACCCCTTTTATCATATTGCAAGTCAGTGTAAAAACAGTTACTGAAGAAACTGACAATTTAAAACAACACTGCACATAGCAGAGTGTCTTAGGAAATCTGAAATAAACAAGATTAGATAACTGAAAGGCAAGGCCTAGGAAATTTCTAACATTTTAGTATTTATCTTTGGCCTTGAAGAACAGCAACTTCCTGCAGAAAAAAATTTGGTTTATGGCAAGCAATACACAACCCTCGCCCCAGCTCATCCCCTTTCAAAGCCTGACATTTAGGAAGAGCAATAATATGTTCTCAGATTTCTCCTGTCAAAATGGGTGCAGGCCTAATCCTGAACTGACAAAAGAAAAGTTTTGCCACTGACCTCAACAGGAATGGTTTCAAACAACCCAGAGGACTTTAAAAAAGAACTTAAAAGAAAGAGAGCCTTGTGCTTCACTGTTTCCCCTTCCGGCCTTGTAAGAACAAGAAGCCAAAAGATTAACAGGAGCTGTTCAGAAAACCAACAAGACACAGTTGTGTTTTTGGCAGCACCATTCATCTGAGGTGTCTCTGCACCCAGTAACCCATGTCAGGTGGTCAGAGACGGCCTACACAGATTAAGTGCTTTCTATACTGATAACATGAGTGATTCTACTAAAAGTTAAGAAGGATCACATCAAATTTCAATTACTTTCAGATTACATCCCTTGTTCTCCTGCACACAGTAGTGCTCACCAAGTGAAACACAGGAGCAGACAATCCCTTCCTGAAGCTTAAAACTATTGCCCCATTTGGAAGCAGGGCTCTGATAAAACTGATTTCCAAATCTGGAAAACAAGCCTATTAGCCGGACTGAGGGTGACTATCAAGTGTGTCCAGCTGTCAGGCTGGCAAGTGTTCCTCGGCACAGGGAGGCTCCAAAACACATTTGATAGAGACAGAGGAAGAACAATGCAACTTATTTCACTGCTGAGATCATAACATATTCTTAGGGGCAATTACTCAGTGCAGCATATCAAAAACAAGAATTATGCTTCACTGACACATCTTTCCAATGCAGAAAAAGAACTATGTACAAGGTAACAGCACAAAGCTATCTAAATAGCAATTAAAGAATCCCAAACCCAAAGTCCCCAGCATGCGGATTTCTCTGTTTATCATGTGTCTTCAGAATATAAAAACTTT